ACACAAATAATCATACTTGCACTATGACAACTCAAGAGTGCTCTCCCTGCAGACCCTAACATACAGCTGCCTCTGTCAGCAAGAGACTCAAAGCAGACTTTCAGATGGAGAGCTAGGCTACCTTCTCTGACCTGGTTTAGCTTTCTTGGCTATTTTATGCCCAGGCAATACAACATCCTGGAGGTTTATGCTATGAATACCTACTGTCAAACCGATTTCTGCAGTTCACATGAATGCACAGTTTCAAGCCCCCGAGGCACTCTCCCATCCTCAGCCAGGCTCCCAGGACCACCACACATCCGCCTACTCTAGTCTTAAAAATTGCAAAGCTCATCAGAAGTACCTACTAGAGCTCAACCATTTGCAAGTACGCCACAACAGTGATGATTTTAACAGTCATGTTAAAACCAACAATTCTTAACCCTGAAGCACCTGGAGTATGAACACTTTCTGTCCATTTTAAAGTTACTCTGCACAGAAGGAAAAAACAAGCATTTTTGAACACTCGCCTCTCAGGACAGCTACGAAAGATCAATTACAAAAGTGACGCATATTTTGAAGATATGAAACTATTATATGTAGGGTCTGACCTTTCCCCTCTCCCAGACATATAGAGGAGAACAATATGATTAGTGGCAAAGCTCTATGCTATAGTCGGAAATATAAATGGCAACAATGAATTACAAGAAGAGGATAGAATCAGTGTACAAAACCAAACAAAACCTCTGCAAGTTTCTAATATTACACAGTACTGGTATCAGTTGCAGCCAAACCTAGATTTGCATTTGTCCAAGCAGGATATTCTTGTGAAGAAAAGATGATACTTGTGAGTTTTATCATCTAGCCCTACTTATCAATCAAAGTATATTAGATTTGCATGTCTAAACACTGTACAGTCAAAATAAAATGGGGACACAAGAATTTGAAAATCAGGTTCTGTATCCTGTCAGGAAGAGGCCAGAGTATGACCATTCAACATCTAAACCCATGAACTGTTTTTTCCTGAAAAATTGAGTATTATATAGTAAAATTTGATTGGTGACTCTGCAATGCTTGCCCAAGAAACTGAATGAGACGGTACTGATTTCATTATATTAACCACACAGAAAAAGCAGAGCAAAGAGAGAACGTTTCTTGAAAGATCTTTTCAAAATCACTTAAGTCTTACAAAGAAATACAAATACCTCTCTCTCAACTTTACTCCTGGAAACTCTCAACACAGAAATAAGCAAAGCCTAAATCTTGAAGACATGCTACAACAAAATAGGTATAAAAGTAACTCATCATTTTCTAAGAAATGAGACAGACAAACATCTAAAAAAAAGCCCAAAGAACCCTGTATTGATATCTGCTTCAAAGTTATAGAGGTTCAGTCAGAGCATGACCTCAAAATGTAATCTACTCATTCTAATGATGGCAGGTACTTTACTTGCAGGCTGGTCAAACAGCAGCATAAAAGCTATGTTTTGTTCATCTTCAGCATTCATTAGTCTGTGACACGTTAAGCTGTACCTGCTCAGGGTCCATTACTTCAGTCACAGCCCCTTCACAGCCAAAAATGGATGTTATTCTAGAGGTACAAATGCAATGTGCTTTTCTCTCCTTTTGAATACATAACTTGCAATTAGTTCAAGGATCCCAAATAAAGCATAGCCTAAAAAGCAGCTGTCATGGACAGACTAGTGTATCAAACTGTTTGTCTTGCTAAATGTGTCCTTTTGCAAGGTGGTATTTCATGCTTACTTCTAGCAAATGAATTTGAATAAGACTAGCTTTAAGTGTCCATTACAAAAAGAGCACAGTGTTTAAAAAAAATTTAAGAAGCTGGACACGTTTTTTTCACATAGTTAATAGCTCACGTATGAGGTCACAGCAAAGACAGTGTCTTTGGAATAACATAAGCTTACAGAGTACCTTTAATGTTTCTTGGTAACACTGCAATTTTTGTCCTAGTCAGTACCGTAGCTAAGAAAAACCCTAAGAACAATGTTTTGTAGATCCTGATGGAACACCGGTATAAGCTTCCTTTATATACTCTCAGTGTCTTAATCTTGCACTGAAAGGAATCGTGCTAAAAACAACTGCCATGCCCTTATCAAAGTCAGCAGAAAGCAGCTAGCTGATGCCAAACGTACTGGTGGGCAGCATGAATAGCTATCTGGATGCTTAAATAACTCACTTCAAACACACTAATGAGCATCTGTAAGATAAATGGTCAATCAGTACCCATCTGCATTGGCACAAACTGGCAGCCCCCAAAGAAAGCAGGCTTTAAAGCTAGGACCCAGTGAGCTTCATATGCCTCATGCAGTGCATTTTAGTCAGTAGGAAGAGTTATATATTGGCTTAAGAAATATCAGTGAGTGCCTGCCAAATTACTTTCCAAAGAGCAACCAACTTGTCTTCTGGCTGTCTTCAGTGTTACGCAGTTGAACAAGTGATCTGGAGTAACTGTGCATGGTGTTAAATGCTAAAGATTTTAGCCATTGTGAAGTTAGAGAAGCAAGTATCCACAGCATGTGGCAGAAGAAACGGAAAGTGATGAAATACTGCTTCATGCAAGCATGAAGGCTAGTCAGCATAAAAGGGGAGAAGACAGAGCATAATGGCTTCTAGGAAGATTGCCACCTCCTCCAGGTAGAAGACCAATTGGGAAGGTACTTAACCCTTCGTGTGCTTTCATCCCTTGACCAGGAAAGCGTGGAGGGGAAGGAAGGTAGAGATGAAGAGGAGGTCACAAACGCACTCCTCCCGATCTAAAAATGGGAAAAAGAAAAACACTCGGGAAAACCAAAAAAACAAAACACAAATTCTTAACTGAAATAAAGGAACATTCTTAAAACATGGAGATGACAAAGCAAGAATGGTTTTGAGAATCTGGCTAAGCCTGAATGGACTTAATTCTTTCAAAATACAATTGATTTCATGTTAATTCCACTACTGATATTCCAGAGGTGCTAAATTCCATAGAGAATAAAACACATTCACCCTAATATCAAATTAACTAACTCCATGTAACAAATTAATGCTTCAGAACTGCTACTTCTATCCAAATTTCAAACCAAATGACCAAAGGACCTGTACAAAGCACTGTCATGTTTTGCGAACACTGCCACATACAGAAGAATTCTGACATTTCTCGCTGCCAGAACTGCCCATAATTTAAAATGATAGAGATTTCATTGTTCGAAGTTCTTATTAATTTAATTAAAGGGGGGAAATCCCAGCATACAAATTTCTGCACCGATTCCCTGGTGCACTCAACTGTCGTCTTTGTAACGTGCATGGAACATTTGCCCTCCCTCATGCCAGGCAAAAAAACCCCATTAACTTCCAAATGTGTTTTAAAGGGCTTAATTGTTTATCTGGAAGAAAATACAAGACAGTGCTACCAACAGGGAAACATATTGAAACAAATCCACAAATGTTAAATATATGCCTAAAAAAATATTGTCCCATATTCCTGCTCTCAGAGCAATCGAAAGAAATGCAACAAAAAAATTAACTTTAATAAGCACTAGTGTGTGTGGGGTCGCTTATCTAAAGTGTGAACACATCAGTGCAGAATCCTTGTGGCTAATACAGAACTCTCTCTCCACTATTAGCACATCATACAGGAAAACACTGAACCAGAATTTATTCAACTAACAGATCTAAACCATCTTCAGCCCCCAGTTCCAAACTCAGAATAAGAAACTGGTGGGCTAATGAAAAAGTTAGCTTCAACTGTATTTTATTTTTGAAAAGTGGTTCTGAAGTTCCACAAGTTGGCACGTGCCTGTATATCTCAAGGAAGAAATCCATGAACTTTACCTACCTTCTTAGAATACTATTTTTTTCCCCTCTCCTGGTTTTACAAACAGCCACACATTGATATTTGGCATATATGTTGTGGTTAAAAGAAACAGCTGAGCAGAAGCCAAGAGCTCCAGTTTACATATTCCAGAATTGTTACAGTTTTTACTTTTCAAAACATCAAGCTCCTGCAGACATGTTAATACAGCAAACATTAACAATTCTTACAGTTCAAATTCACTCTGAAGCAGACAGTTGAGCACTTTTGGTAAATGAGCATAGTTGGAATAGACAGAAAAGTTGAACATAAGAAGAAATGCAGAAGCATCAGCAGTTTTACTTACATGTGGAGGGAAAGGCTGCAGTCTTGTTATGCTTTCTTCTGGGTATGTGACCTCTCCCATGGGGAGGTAGGGTTTCTGACCTGATCCAGTCTCATACATGGACATGGGTCTGCTACCCCGTGCAGATGGCCGTCGCTTTAAAGAAGAACTGTTGGTAGGGTCTGTGTATTCAGAACCAGTTTGGACCTGATATATATTGGTTGTGGCCTGTCTTCTGAGGTTGGTATTTTCACTCTGTAGCGTTTGAAGCTGAAAGAAATGTTTAGCAGTGGGACTTCGTTTTTCCAATAGCAAGCGTCAAAAGCAAACTGACTATACAATACACGCTTGTCAGCTTTACTAGTAAATCGAGCTACTAGTAGCTGGGGTTTGATTTCTTTTTCAATATCTACTTGACTTACTTTATATTAAACATAGAAACATCTATGTTCCAGATCTGGAAATATTTACGTGCTGATTTCCAGCACTTTTTGCCGGGATGCAAGCTAAATTAGATTTTAAAATTGCTTGATGTAGTTAAAAAAAAAAAAAAAAAAGACAACACACAATCCATTTCTTCCAGCCTGGCTGTACTGGCACATGAATCGTGTAATATAATGAGATTGTGGGGGGAAGGACTGCCAACAAAACAGTTCGTCAAGCAAAGTGATTCACTTCAGCAGTCAATATAGGACCTTAAAAGAAGACTTTAACATAAGGCCTATGAAATCTGAAAATTTGCCAAAACTACAGCATAGACACTAGAGGCAGCGCAAAGAAAACTAGAGCTTGCTCTGCAAAGCAAGAAGAGAGTTTAGCTTATGAGAATTTAAGTATCAGCTACTGCTTTCTAAGAAGCCAACAAGAAATAATTTTAAAGCTTTTTACTGTTATGTATTTGGTGGATAGCAAAAATGCAACAATTCTCATTTTTTGTTTGTGGAGTTACTCAGAGTAAGTTTGCTATATTAACACATCATAAAGAAAAGATGTAAAAGAAGTCAGTATCAGCAGTTCTGTATCAATAATTGAGTATAATATTTCAAACAGCTGATGGCCTTTTAAACAGGAAATTGCTAGTTACTACTTGCATTTACTTTGCATCATATGAACCTTCAAGAACATTATTTCTATCAAAAAACAATCCTGTTCTGCCTAGAGCACTTCCCACAACCCTAAATCGAATGTGCAGCCTTCTAAGAAGATTTATGCTTTTTCTCCCCACTTTCTATGTGCTCTGTTGTAAGATGCATCAACTCTTAAGATTTGAGGATCAGCCAGGAGCCAAGCTACCCCTTTAAAGTTTGACATTAACGGCAATCAAATAGGTCAACTTTACAGTCTCATTCTTCCAAACTTCTTCCACAATTTATAAATGTGCTTTTGGTGCAGTTTTAGCCAACAGCTAATGTAAACTCAGACCAAATTCTTAACAACCTATAAGCACCTAAAAAACCCCACAGGCATAAAAAAATAACTTTTTCCATCAGAATGCCCATTAAAGTAACTATTTTAATTTTGATTTAGGAAGAATGTACTCCAAAATGGCATTCATCAAGTGCAGCTTTGCCTCCTCTTAAATTAGCATCTGTGGCTTAGTAATTGCCATGCAAAAGATTAGATACACAGCTGGCTAGTACGGTGATACATAAAGTAGTTTTTTTTTAGGTTATGATCTTCTAAGCTTTGCTTAGAAAACAAGAGACTCTTGAATGCCCTCTATTGCATTAGAATTGCTGAAGTAGTACAAATATATTGGTGGCTTGCCACAAGTAACCCAGCAGAGAATTCCCGTATTGTACTGAAGTTCCCCATAGCTTAGAGCTAAGACAGCTGTCACCCCTTCCTCCCGTCCTGCGTTCTGCAATGGCGCACGGCTGTATCGATTCTTCACCAATCCAGAGCCACCGAACACTAAGTTAAAAGTCGTCCCATAGCTATATACATCATCAGGACAGAAAATTAATGCAACTCATCTTCAAGGTGAGCCCTGGCTATGCGATCGTTCAAAAGAAGTTCAACGGCAGCACAGCAATGATCTCTTATGCTACACCACATAAATATAATAAAGCCTCATTAATTCATAACCCCTAAAGATTTTTTTTTTTTAGCCTAAACAGACTATATCTGTTTAAAGAAACTCAATACAAGTGAAAAGTTAATTCAGTTGATGCAGAGAAATGCTTAACCAGTACAAGCTGTTAAAAGACCACGGAAACACCCTGAGATCTCTTGATCTCTTCGGTTCTTCTCGGCAGTCACCGTTCAAACAGACATGAAAAGTTGAATGCAATTATAACAGAAGGATGGCACTGAACAGACAAGGATATTCAAATCTGCTGAATTAGCTTGGCCTCAGATGCTAAGACCTCAACGGTTCCCACCACTCTCCACAGCATCAGCCTCTTTGCCCCAAAACAACAGGGAAACAAGCTCTCAGCACAGGTTCACCTCTGCAGGACCACAGCTTGAACAACTTTATAGGGAGAGAGCTTTCTGTAGCACATACTGTAGGTCTTGCAGTATTGTAATTATTTGGAAAATGGGATTTTTAACCCTAGGTAAAGAATTAATTTGAGGAAGCAACCAGCCCTTTCTAGGCTAGCATGACAGACGGGATCATGAACTTCAATACAGATACAAATTCTCCTTTACCCCACAAAAATCTCCATCTACCAGAACACTGGCAAAGCATTCAACAAATTGTTGATTTGTTTATATAAGGATTAGAAGGTCTGGCCTCCAAACTGGGTTTTTGGAGCTTTAAATTCAGCATTTTAGCAAAAAATGTTCAGTTTTCTGTTTGTTAAGACTATCTACACATAGTAACTCATATTGTACATGAGATACCTGTACCTTACCCTCAACCAGACAAAACCTACGCTAAAGGTTTAAAGCCGTAATTGAGTTTACCACCACATCCTTTATGTGCTATTTCCCACGGATTCAAACACAAGCAAACCAATAAATTTTGGTCTCCTGGAATATAAAAACTTTATATTGTATTGCCACATTTCAGAGTATTTTCTACTGCCAAACTGGATTAGGATTTTAATTTCCTTTCATTCCAGCCAGACTTATTAAACCCAACATATTTACTGGAAAAGTTGGAAGTACATTAGATACGTATGTGCACACACACAAGATGTGTGCTAGCACTTCCTTCCTCAAGTTGAAAGCTACTTATCTTGAAGGAAGACAGCAAAAACATAAGACTTCCAACAACTGTGTTGTCACTTTGAAAACTTATGTCAAAATGAACTAAGCAGATCATCATCACCTCCACAAAACACACATTCAAAGCATGTGCTGCACATATACATTTATAGTCTCATCTGATATAGTCTCACCAATGCAGCTCCATTTTAAAATAAGTGTTCTCGCTATCCTAATACTGGGTTATGGCATCTTCAGTCTCAGCAATTTTATTCTGGTCAACATAAAACACATCAAGAAATGAAGGGGTTACATTGTGCCTGTTACCTTTTTCTGCATGATTCTCAGCTCATCACTCAGGTTGACGTTCACTTTCATTAACTGCTGAATCTTTACCTCAGAAGCCACCAACGCATTTTTAACTTGCATATATTCTTGGGCTGTCACTGGTCCATCTGACAAGTCTGAATCCAGGCTCTGTAAACAGTAAGAGTAAAATACTATAGAGAAGAATACCACTGAGAAAGAGATTACCAAAAGAAAACAAGGCAATGAGATTTTGACACCTTTTAATGTACTTACTTTAAATGAATCATGGTTCAAATTAAGTTCAAATTAATAAAATCCATTCACTAGAATAATTTTAGTCCAATATAAAAGAACTTTGATGTTAATCAACTCTTTGCTCCTCTATGCACAAAAACATTTGTCTCAGCATTTCGGTGACACAATACTCTTTTGTAAGGATTTTGGGTTTTTAAATATGCAATAAAAACCTGAAAAGTCATAAAATATGGATTACCAAATATGCAGTGTGCATGTTACTAGGGAAGATTAAACTAGAACTACGAGGTTTACCACCCCTTTTTCTCCATGTTGCATTATTTTCAAGAACAGTTTAAAACATTCAGTTGCTATTGGTCTGTTGTATGTATTTCTTCAGCAGCAAGCGGTAAATGTTTGTGAAATACCATGGAATCACTGTTAAAGAGTGTTTTGGTAGACCAAATTAGATCTGTACCTTATCTCCAGACATGCACAGTGGTGGACATTACTTTTCTAGAGAAGCATTTTACTTACAATAAAAAGTCCTTAAGTCACAACACTTAATGATGTTAGAAAGTTGACAGACTGAGGCATGATTCTGAAATTAATTCAAACATTAATTAAAATACTAATTTTATGATCATTTATGCATGTTAAATCTTCTCTCAAGGGGAAATATTCAGTGCAGATTACCTTTAAGAATAAAATTCGGTGTGTGCATAAATATTTCACACCTACCTTCTGTCTGTTTGATTTAGCTGCATTTGTTTCCAGATCTGTATCTTCATCCGAAGCAACACTGTCATAATCAGGCTGGTCATTATCCTGACTTTCACTACTATGTTGACTGCTGATTGATTTGAGTATCAGTTCCACATTTTCTGTAGATCAACATACACCATATAAAAATATACTAATAACTTTGGAGAAGAAACGAAAGTGCATACTTTAAAGTAATTTAAAAAATAAATAAATCAGAAAATATTTTCATCCAGAGAGACAATACAAGACATATCATAATAAAGTATTATTTGACTAGCCCAGTTCAAAAAAATTAATTTAGATCCACCTAATAGGTATGGATTATTACTGTCCAAAATATCAATGTTTTATGGTTTTGCCTTTTCATTTCTTGTAACTGTTTAGGCAAGTTAACACAAGTGGTGAGAATCATGCTTTAACAGCTTAATAAAATTTATATAAGGCAAAAAACCCCAACAGACTATACTGGACAAATGGATGTCAACATTTAAATGAAAGATATAGGGAAAAATTAAAAGTTAGAGAAGATTTTTTTTGTATTTTCTCTCCAGAGGGAGAGCCAGTGTTCAAATCTTGTTTCATACCATCACAGCTAGAACTATGGCTCTATGTGGTTGTTAGTATAGGTATTTGTATTATTTTATACCTATCATGCTCAAGAAATACTGAAAGTAAACATTTCAAGGCAAATTAGCAGTAAGCTCAAGAACATCTAAATTACAGCAAAGTCTGCATGTATAGAGCAGCCAGAAAAGCCAACGTCTAAAACACTGACATTACTCTAGCTGCCAATCAAAAGAAGTATCACTCTAAAACTGTGCAATAGTATTCTGGAAATTTTTACAAAGTTATCATAAAAATCACAACCATCATAAAAAGGTGTTCATGAATTGCATGTATCCCATTTGATTTAGTTGTATTACAAATACCAACCGTAACAGACAAATCTGTACTTGGGCATTATTTTGGTGGCCTAATGCATGTTGTCAATAGGCTGCTAGCCATATGATTTAGTCCTTATCATTTATAAAAACAGTATGAATCTCCTTCTTCATTCATGTAGTACTTCTGAATGAGGCTACGGTATTGATTAGAACTACTGAAGAATTGCATACAGAAGAGCCGACAACTAAAAGTATACTCACCTTTTGAACCAGTGAGGGGATTCCCCTGTTGCCTTCGTTTGGCATCACTCAAAATATCTATAACTAGTGTAGCAAATTCATGGGCATTGAATCGAGCCAGTTTCTGTCTTCCCTGAATTACAGAATAATGC